TTAATCCAATTTGCGGACTCTACTGCGCCCATTGACATACTATTTTCCACTTCGATTGTGCGTAGCCAGTCTGGTTCGTCCAGGTTGGCGGTGATGGGTAGAAAGGGTACTATAACTGAGAAGCGTCTTTCTTTGATGGTCGCTGGTATACCAATGGCATCGATAATTCTGAGTCTGTTGACCGGGTTTCTGATCCATTTTGCTGCCTCCGTGGTGGTTAGTTCGATGATGAGTCCTCCGTTGCGTAAACGAGTCGTGGCTTTGATCTGGATGTCTGGTGTGTCTTCTGTTTCGGTTGCTGTGATGGCCTTCTTAATTTCGGATGCTATTTCTGCTGATGTTATCTCGGGTGCGAATAATACTTTGCCTGGGGTCGGGTCGAATAGGATTTGTTTGTCCCTCGTTGCTGCTCTAGCGATTGCTGCTGAGACTGTTCCTGGGGTCTGAGTGCTTTGTTGAACTATTGCGCTGTATGTTTTCGGGAGTTCTGCTTGAGGGCTGGATGTCCGGTCCGCGTTGCTGATGAGATCCTGGGAAATCTGTTTGATGCTTGATTGCGTGGCGCTGATAGACGGGGTCAGTGATTCTATTGCTTTTTTAACATCGGTTATACTGTTCATAACCGCGTCGGCTGTCTGTTCGGCACGAGTGGCTGCTGCCATTGCCGATGGGTTTTCATTGGCATGTTTTGAGTTTACTTCAAGGGCGTTGTTGAGTTTCGCTAAATCGTCGATGTTTGATTTGAGAGACTCTGAGGCAGTGAGGATCGTGGCAATTTGAGGTGAGATAGCTGCGATGACGTGGGTTGACAAGGATGTTGTGAGGTCTGCGATGATTTGAGTCGATATTAAGGTTGAGAACGATTCGCTGATTTGATGGGTGGGTGATTCTGTTGGTGCTCCGCTGAGAAGAACATCTTCTAGTAAGATTGCTACCGCTCGTAGTCCTTCGATCACGATGCGTGGTATACCTGTATATTGAGTGATGTGCAGAATGGTAAGAATTAGACTCTCGTTTGATATGGGTTCGCCGGATTGGCAAAATGGGGACTTCTCTAGGAATATGATACTGCTTTCTTTATCTTTTACATCGTATTCTTGATGCAAGATTTCATCTTTCGGTATTAAAAGGGATACCGTGTTTCGATGAGAAGCTCTGGTTCTATTGGTGGGAGTGGGGGCTCGGCTGGTTAAGTTTCCTCCCGTTTGCGTTGGTCGCGCTCTCCCTGAGGCCATTTCGTTGCTAGCAACTATAATGCAGACCTTCTAGGTTGGTCTGTCTGGTATTTGAAATGAGAAGCTTTGACGTCTGGGACGTCTAGAGCGCTGGTGAGCGCAGTGCTGGGAGCCGAAGTTTTCCGGGGTCCTAGCTGGGTGCCACTTGGTAACGGACCAAGAAGCACGAGGAAGCTTACGGTGCGTGGCACTCAGTGTGGATAGGTGGCTACCGCATGTTTGTGCAGAAGAACGAACATGCGTAAAATTTGGATTCAAGTTGGAACGCGTCGACCGGGCCGAGTAGAATCCAAGAATCGGGTTATGTAATATACTACCTCCGAGTTCGACTGTCACGCGTCACGGTTTATACGTTTAACTTTAAGTACTTTCACCAATACCACAGGTCCCGACAATGCAGAGGTAACAATCGCATGCTCTGGCTGCAATTAAAAACCACGGCTTCCAACTGCCTCGCCACATTCCAAAGGGGTTTCAAGACAACGCTTGGGCTGTCTTAATCATCGGCACGCGTGGTAGGCTGGTCTGTTTTTTTGGCGCATTTGTCAGTTCACAAAGTATACACTTTCAATCGCGGTCACAAGGATCAAAAAACCCACAAGCCAGTATAGACAAAGCAATGAATTCACATGTCGTGAAATAAATCCTAGACTTCTCAAATTTTCAATGCTCGTGCTACCTGAAGGAGAAAACCTATGAACCCAGTCTTGGTTTACAGCAAGACCAGTTCCATGATTTACGACGTTGAACAGGTCCTTTTTGATTCATAACGCAAGTTGCTGAAACGGTCACCGCCGTCGTCCTGGATGGTTGGTGCGTTAATTTCGCCTCATCGTTGGACGACCTCGAGCCTGGGCAGGGACGCGTAGGTTGATTGAAATGGCATTGATTTTGCCACACAGATATCCGCCGCGCTTTATTTTATCGACCTCTGTTGGGATATTCCAAAGTTCGTCTTAAACACATGCTTTGCAATACATCTTGATTCATGACTTATGTCAAATATTGACACATGCAAGCCATTGCAAGACATGCCTGTTAAAGACCCCCGCGCCGCGGCTGTCATGGGTTGTCAGGAATCCAAATGGGTCACGGAACAGGTGCACAGAGCTGAAGCGGGAACTCCATCTTATTCTGTGAGGATCCGCCAGATAACTGGAAATGTTGATGGGGCATGGAGCAGGAGTGGTCTCCTGCGACTCCCACGTCTAGCCAAGCTATTGGCTGCTTGCTTATTGCAAATAGGGTATGCCCCTATATTACTAGTGTTTGTATTGATTTCGCTCACACCGTCTGCGGGAGGTCATGAGGTGCCTCCGCAACTCACAGCTAGGGTACCTGGGTAATGATAGAATTGATGAACCAATCGTGCACTTGATTCGGACGCAGCCGATCCCATTCACGGTCATCCTCTAATTCGCGCAGAAGATGCTATATTTGCCTGCTTTTTTACAAAGAGAGTGGCTGAGACTGCTGGAGTGTGTGCGGTGATAACTGCGTTGCCCGAGTCGCATCGACGTGTCCCCGCTGTTCGGATATTGCCACATTTCCGACCGCATATGACATCAAAATACCACGTATGAAGCTGTTGGCATGCTGTGCGTTGCGACAGAGCGCTCGAAGAATGAGTGTAAGCACGCTGGCTTACCTGAGTTCCCATACTATATACTGTCGCTGACACTAGTATTCTACCATTTGGTGTAACGGTTATGCGCGGGCGGCAGTCTGACCCACTTACAACGAAGTTTCATGCATGGTCTCATTAGCACCTTGTGTGATTCGACTAACTCATTGCAGAGCAAGATGTCATTGATACTAATTGTCTTGCAAGTTGTAGGGTTGTACCTCTGAAAAAATAGGGATACATCTCTTATCTGTCTGACAGATCTGAAATGCCAGCGGATGGTTAACTTTTAGGGTGATCATGAAACCAACCCAAATCAGTGGCTAGTTGATGTGACTACTGTATAGCCAGGGACGCTATCTACGCAGCCGTTAATCAAGAAATCCATTATCCCACACACGCTTGCACTCGAGGGAATGATCGGCGGGCTTTGCTTTTTGCAATAGCACTTACGGCATATTCCACAAAGCTGTCCGACCATGTAAAGGCACAGTTGCAACGTCATGTTGTTCTAGATAACTACATGGCACATACCAGAAAAGGTGATAGGAATGAATAGCAAGATAACAGACTTGACAGTTCACATGAACACACTCCGTCTAAGAGAAGATGTGTTTCAATGCTGCTTCATCCATGCGGGGCTTGAAGATGAGGTCGAAAGGCTTTTGGTGTGATACTATGCCAGGGGTAAAGGCAGTATCGTCAATGGGATTACTTGGGTCTTCTTCCAGTGTGAAGGACCAGAACACGATAGCGACAGCGATATACACTGATCTGAAAAATGGCGGATGCATTGAGACAAAGTACTTATCAACTCACGCTGTCGACTCACCGCTTAGCAACATGCAACCCCGGACATGCACTAAGATATCTTCAGCAAAACCCAGTGAACAAAGACCGGTATTTACCGTCTTCCAAAACCAAAAGAGAACAGATTCATGGTCTCTGTGAATTCTCCGTCTGCTCCAATCCATCGTTGGGGATTGAATACTTCGGGATCGTGGAAGACGGAGGGGTCACGCCCGATGCTCCTGAAGAACGAAGTAAGAAATTGTAAAAATAATCCCTACTAGGCACCAACCAATGATTCCCGAAGACAGTGGCACCGGCAGGGATGCACATGCCGTTCTGTGATGACGATGAACTCAGATTTGACCTATAATCTGTGATTTGTGCAACATACCCAAATGATATCTTTCGTTGCGCGGTGGGGGATTCCTGAAACGCATGTCAACCGAATGGCCTTGAATGTACATTATTAGCTCACCTAAGGGGTTGATAGGCCTCCATCGAAATGTTTCCAAAATGAAGGCTTGAAGCTGAACAAGCTGCGGCAAGTCCTCGAACGTGGGAGCTGCGGCACAAGGTAAGCCGGATTTGAACCAAGGTGGGTTTAACCTTCATACTAGTCTCTCGGCCAATGATGGCTTCTAGCTCCTCGTGTACACGAGCCTGTGCGTGTGGAAAACGCGCAGCAGCCATTAAGACCGACGAAATCGCGACAGCAGTCTAAGACTCCACAAGTTGGGTTGCATTGATGTTTATCGGTTTCTTTTGCTTACCGTATCGGAACCTGCTCCGACAAGGGCCCCGGAGAGATATGCAATCTCCGCGCCAGACAGCTTATTATCGTTGACGTGTTGAAGGAGATCCTTTGCAACTGAATGAGGGGCACTGTAGCCTTCCTGGTATAGGTCATGACGAAATTGACGCAATGACAGAAAAAGAGTCCATACCACTTGATTTTTAGCCCGATTTAGCTGCGCGAAAAACATGTCGTATTCTTCCTGGCTCCACTGTTTCAATTTTCGTCCATAGCCAGGGATATATTTGAGGATGGGGTATTCATCAACGAGGAATGCACCTGGCATCATCGTGCTCTGAACCTTTGGGATCATCTTTTGCAGCTGCAGTAGATACGAGTCATCAAGTAATGTAGGGGATGTCTTTCCATAGATGACGTGCAAAATTACAGATGATACAAAACTATGCGCGGATGTCACCAACCGAAGTGTGAGAATAGAGGATGGACAAACCGTTTGATATGCCTCTGGTGCAATTTGGGCTCGTGCAGTATGTCCAAAATAATGTCACGTGCATGCGCGAACTGTACTGGCTCGTAAGTCTGAGCAGACTTCACTTGGAGGTGCGTATGCGAAGCCCTGACGTGATCGGGATTGTGAGACAGTCGGTTTATAAATCAGTAAGTGTGTCACCTACTTGCGAAATCTGCGGAGCCTGTCCCCAGAGCGAAGTAGGATGAATCGCATTCCTCTCCCAAGAATGTCACCACCAGCGATTGAACGAGGACGATCTGCGAGGAATGCACCTTGCTTCTCCATGATATCAATCGCTTCCTGTCAGAGACGTCAGTGCCACAATGTGAATATCGTACAAAATAGAGTCAAACCTGGCAGCGTCCCACGATGACTAGTACATTTTTTCCATCCTTGAGAGAGATGACTGGTCCGTATTCGTTTATCCACTGAGCAATCTTCCTGGGCGGACTGTTGTTGTACATTAGTACATAAAATTATCGCATAACCACGACATACTAATGCCCAAGAGGGGGCTCTGATGGACCAGGAGGTAGGGGTAGTAGAAGGGAGTTAGATGTGCGAGCACGGTAGGAGTAGACAGCAACACCTAATAGACTGAAGATGGCTGCCCCAGTCTGCCAGTGCCACGCGGGGAATATCTCAACCATGGGGGACATGGGCAAAAGGGGCTTTAAGGTGCCTTTTTCGAGAACCTCCACCTGGCTTTTGTAGACAAGATATGTTCATGTCACGCCTGGCAACCTGGAAGGAAGATTCAGTATCGGTTTGACCGTCACCTACCATATGAAAGGACACAACGGTTGGTTCCGCGGGAGCAATTCCCATCACTCCCCACCTGAATACACCTGCGCTATCACACAGCTCGCTGTCAGTGTGCTGGCAGTCAGCCAGCCGTCTGCGTGCCGTGCGCTTATCTCCATGACTAGACACCTGATCAGCACACTACTCTTGCAATGTAGAAATACACATTACTCCGGCTGTGTTACTTGCGTGCTGCTGACTCATAACAAGAAGGAACAGTATGGTCTGTCTATAGGAGACGTAGCTGCTGCTGGTCTCTGCTCGCTCATTTCCTCCCATGCCGCTTGAGACAGTACACCGCCGCTAGGTTGGAAATGGTTTTATGAGTGCCGCCCCACATCGGCAATTGTACTCTCCAACCCATCGCAAAGGACGAAGGCGAGCGGACGGATTGCTCGTCAATGTATTACGTATGAGTGAAACGAAGAATCTCACTCATCTGACACATGATTTTGATCAGGTATGTAAGTATGGCCGAGATGGCGCGGGTTCTCGCAGCCATGTATGACATCAGACGTCGCGAGTTGATTCGCCTATTTGCTGTTCTGCGCATGTCGTCCACACCTGAATACTCGGAATTCTCAAAATTCCCCATTAGGACTTCAGCTTTCATTGAGGTCAACACTTGCGGGGCCCCTTCATAATTCATTTTTACGGTCATATCTATAACGAAGCGTCAACAACCCAAATAGCGGAAAGCCATCAAATGATTCATTCCGGATGTAATGAAGTGATGGAATAGCTGAATAAGACTGGTCATATGGGTTGTAGTGACCAGTTTGTGCTCACTAACGCAAGTAAACCAATTTCACGAGCGTATGATAGGAAGACACACAGCAGATTTTCTTTCTTTGTCGGTAACCTTGATCACCGAGTGCAAGCGTGTAATAGCTTTGACAGTGTTCGCCTACGCTGTTTACTCTTCTGCGGTCATATTTGGGATCAGCAGATTACAAAACGAGGTGTTGTCGGAGATATAATGCGGCTTCCTAGGACGTGTCTTGTTAGCTGATAGTGCGAGATAAGTTGATACTTACGACTTCTGAATCTATATCCCTCAATGACGAGCTGTGAGGCGTTGCTAAGGGTCCAGGCCTCCGTACTGCCCTTGAGCGTTGAGCGGGTTAGAGAACCCACCTCATCATGTTGAAACGTCATCACGTTTTTCATATATGCCAGTCCAGATGATCCCATCTGTAGCAAGGCCTACAAGCATTTTTTTGAGTGACCGGTGGAGTCCATCACTCGCTCAAGAAGCACCAAGCTGTAATGAGCATTAACGCCATCAGAACTCAACGAAAAAGGGATGGAGCATCACCGGTCAGTAGAACCTTTCAGAAATAGTGGCATATTGGCGACTCCAACATACAATCATCACTAAACGGTGGGCCGACTCGATTGCAGGCAGCAGCCATAATATCTGAAGCATCGGGTAATTCCGTATTGCGGTACCTTTGACGCACTGCGCCGCATCTCTCGTCACCCTGCCAAACGAAAAACGGTGCACACTGGAGTCCCATGGAGACAATCGATCCGTTCTTCGGGGGACACATACCGTGACACCAGGGAAAAGTGCACTGGCACGATGCATGCTTCCTGCTGTGTTCTGTATCTGTATCCAACGGTCAGCAACGCGCGATTGATTTACGAATTTCCATGACAGTCAGTAAATCACCGCAAGATAGTCCAGAATCAACGATCTTTGATTAACCGCCCTCTTTTAAAGATAGGTGCAGAGCCAAAATTGCCATTGAGCATCGCCTACTAACAATCAGTGTCAGTGCCATCAATACCATTGAGACGTATCATTGGATTTACTCCTGGAGCTACGGTTCGTCTGGGCCGGAGGAAATGTATGGCAGTGACAGCTAGCATTTCGAACGGTGCATATTTAATGTTTGAAGTTTTGGCAGTAGGTTGAAGTTAAACCGGACTTGGCTTAGTAATATTATACCCACAGCTTACCCAGTCGGATTCCAGCCTTTTCGTCAAGATCATCGGAGATGTGTCCTCAGACTCCTCACTGCAGCTGTACTTATCATATGATTTGATGCCTCATTTGTTATAGATTGGTTCAAGATCTACGCGGCGCGCGGGGTGAGCATTTGTCTTTTTTCAAATCCTTGAAACGCATTGCCGCTTGACGCCACGATGAAACGTACCAGGGATATAAGTAAGTTCATCTGCTTGTATGCTTTCAAGCTAACCGATGACTTCTAGCCAAGGGAATCAAATATTGGCGTCGTTTGATGCTCACCTTGTGCAATAAGGTCGAATAGCCCATATCAAGCAGCTAAGCCCGGTTCACCGCGGTGGACCGTGGCAAACTAATCTCCTCTCAATCAGCCATTACCAGGCAGACAAGATCAGCGGAAACTGAGTGGAGAGTAACGCCCGTCCTGCGGTTTCATATATAAGGGACATACTACGTCTTTAAATAGGCATCTAATGTAAGTTAGGCTAAGTACCTCTTCCGAATCTTTTGACAGCACAGCGTTCGCGAATACTATACAGTAGATACAACAGCCTGAGATATATCACCAAGACCAAGACATGCGTAGCAGATACAGAAATATAGGGGTTTAGATGTGGTTGGGAACCTTAAGGCCGGGATCCTATTGGGGCGGGCGTTCATGGTTCGGAAACTTGGCGGAGATATTAGCGGTGGAGAGGTACTTTTGGAGGGATACACGCGAGGAAGTCGACGAGAAATCAATTGGAACGTTCCATGAAACAATCACATGACAATTATACTGGTGCGAGCACTGTAAAAAAGGGTGTCCACAGTACAAGTCGTCGCGGTGCTATCCTCGCTCGGGGAGCGTATCCGCTCCTCGTGGCTCCTTCGGGAAAAACCAACGTTACTCCTCCGGGGAGCACCAGTGTCGCAGCTCCGGCGGATCCATGATGCTTCCGAGTTAAACATAGAGACAGGTCTTGTGTCCCCCATTTGGGGTTCGTCCATGGTGTCGAGCCCAAACCACCCGCAAGCATCCCAACCAGAACCTCGCTTCCCACACCCTCCATCAAGATCAAGGCCACCACCGTGAGGACCAAGACTCGCGGGAGAATCTGGCCGGGGGAAGGGCGCGAAGAGGGCGGGTAGAGGTAATGTTGAAGTGTCATCCTCGGGCTCGGGTGTGGCACTTGGCGTAGGAAGCTGTGCAGTTACGGAAATTTGTTCTTCTGCGCTGTCCTTGAGTTGCAGACCATCGCTCGCCACCCCTTCCCCATTCATTGCGCGAATCTGACGATCTGCACCGAGGGAAAGGGTCCAGTCATCCCCTTGTGCTACTTGCAGGGCTTCATCGGCTTCATGAAGGGCACCGTCCTCTGAAGGAGGGGTTGGCACACATATGCCCCCTGGTATGTCGATGCAGAAAGGCAGCGACAGTGTCCAGTCTGCACATGCAGGTGTGATAGACGTAGCCTTCGATGTGGCTCCACTTCGCAGTAGCGGAGCGGATCTTCTCCGCTCCCGCGGGACTGCGAGAAACGGCATTGTGGCAGCAGCACTCGACTTCCTCCTTGGTTTCTTTGGCGGACTCTCAGTATCGGGATTTGCCTCAGCATGGATCTGCACGCGTTTCGGAGGTGAATCGGTGCAGCTAATCGTCCCCTTTGAGCGCCGAGTGCCTAGTACCAGTATGCTCTTCGTGCGCCGCACTTGAGCTTCCAAGTCACTGGCAGCCTCCAATATCCCAATACTTGCACGCTTGCCTAGGGAAGAGGAAGTGGCATTGGACATGCCGTTCTTCTGGTTCTTGGTGGGGGAGCACGGGGAAAGTTCTTTCTTTCTCCCTTCTTTCGAAGGGGAGGAAGGCGGACTGGGTAGACTTGACGGAAGTGGGACCACGATGCGTCCTGTAGCACCCCAGCTCAAACGAGAAGGGAGTCGCAGACTTCCAGGAGAAGGGGGAATTGCGGCTGTGCCCGAAGGCGAGCCAGTACGCACGGGGGTGCGAGCACGTTTTGAGGGAGTCGGGTTGACTGTTGGTAGAGGGACTGGTGCGTTCGGGGGCGTGAGGACATCGGGATCTTGCGCCATTAAAATAGGTAGGGGAGGAAGGGGGCTACTGGGTGGAGGTCCCGGTAATGGCGGGGTCATCACGGAACGGGATCCAGCCCGTGCAGAAGACCAGGGAAAAGATGATGTTGTTGAAGTTGCCGATTTCATGCTAGAGGCAGACGACGCAAGTGCGCTAGATGAGACCGAAGGAACGTAGGATGAAGGCTGACATGATGCGGTCATGGATGTAGGAGATGAGAGGGAGCACGCGGAGACGGAACCTTCAGTATCAGAGGGCACATGGGGTGATACTCCGATCGCTGGTTGAAGACAGAGGGATGCAATCTCTTGAGGAAGAATCAATGTCAATGCTGAGGGCCGTCGTCGTGTTTTGGCCTGGACGGTACTGTCACTACGTCTGCGCGATGAAATGGTAAATTCAGTCGCTCGAGGTGTGATGTCATCATCGATAGATTCGACGTCCTTGCATTCGGTTATGGAGGTGCCAGACCTCCTTTCCATGCCAACCGCACCCGTCATTGCTCCGTTAGGGACGATACTCGATGATGATTTATTACCAAACAGGAGCTGCAGCGGCGAACGCGGTGCGGGTGGAAAGTGGGTCATTTGCATCGGAGAAAGCCGAGAACGGGATATCGCAACTGGAGATGGCGAAGGAGATCTCCTCGTACTGAGGGTCTCATTCCCTGTTTCCGTACATGCGATTTCTTCCGCGAGGCATTTGGAGAAACGCTCGGACGTAGGTATCACTGAACCAAGGCTAGAGGTCGAAGACATGCTAGTCAAGGTTCTCGAAGGTGATACAACGGCAGAAGTGACAGATGACGAGCGAGAGCGATTCGATGAGACGCCTGCGAAACCTTCCACCTGCATGACATGAATATGAGTGCTAGACTGCAGAATTACATACGCACCATATGACCTTCAGGTCTGCGAGACCTATGAGGCGATAAACGCGATAAACTCCAAGTAAAAGCCATCTTGCGAGGGCTCGGTGTGACAGGCTCGTGTACTTGTTTCGTGGGTGAACGTGGAATGAGAGGTAGATGTGTTGACGAGCGAGAGAACAAGCGGTGGAATGGGGATGATTTTGATTTTTCGGGGGTGGAAGGGAGTGGGTCGTGATGAAGGATAGTCTCGGGAACGTTAACGTTGGATTCGAATCTTTCTATGTCAAGCGACTCGCTGAGAATATGATTCAACTCATTTATAGATAGAGTTGGAGGTCTGCGGGTATAGAACATTCCACGGAAAGAGCGACTGAGTGAGTGAAAAGAGTTGGACAGGACAATGAAAGAGACGCGGTCGACAGTCAGTTAACGGGGTTGGGCGGATAAAGCCTCGCAAAACGTTAGCCAGGGTTGTAGGAGCCTTACCCGTTCTAGAAGTAATAGTCGTAATTTACAGATGAAACTTCTCGTCGGAAATCGGTTGACTTCATGATGGGCGTCTATTTTATCATGTACTTAAACGGGCCCGACGGTCATCACCACGACCTCTTCGTAGGAAGCTCAGTGCTTTGAGTATTAGATAGTTGAACACACCGTGGGCGACGTTTATGAACAGGCAAGCAACGATGTTCGTTTGTCGACGCGGCTGAATTAATCGACTCGCGTACCGAACAGTTGTCAACCTAAAAACACGCGGCGGAATGGACGTAATAATCCAGCACAGTCCAGCCCCGCACTCGGTGCACAATAAGCACCTTCTGATCAAGACCCCGGTACCGACTATTTATCATTAGGACCACCTCCCACTCGAGCCTTTGAACCAGCCTCAGCGCTGCCAGTACTTGCATCGATCCTAGCACTCTGGTAAGAGGCAGTTTAAAAAATGACCAGGACCCTTGAAAATTTCAGCGTACGTACAATTCTCGTGAGCTAAGACTTATGTCGAACTTTGTAGGTACCTCTGATTTCGTCACTAAATCATCGTCCTTGGAGTCACCTTTGTCAAAGATTACGATCAAGTTGGACCGAACTGCCAGAACCTTTCTAGCAACTTTCCAGAGTAGGTTGTTCATATTCCAATTTTCCAATGCGACTAGTAGCCAATATCTCAATTGAATTTTGACAGATTGTATTAGGACATTTGTTTGTCGGCCTTAAGCTTTCTTGGCGTTATTCGATTCCGAATTTCCAGGACAATAGTGTTCAAAGGCTCGGCGTGTTTACACATGTCTGCACTCGTATCATACGGTTAGCTATGCGGGAGCCCAGATCGTTTCAAGGCCGACTGTCCAGACTCTCAATGGCGTGTCATCTGGTGCTTTCAGACTTTGTCCACTATACCGCACACTCGGTCTCGACTATGGTCTTCAATGGTAAGCGTACAGCTCGATCGCCACTGATGAGATGTCTCAATTGCACTATTGAATGTTCTTCTCTTTCCGTAGGCGCTCGTGACGTGTCCCTGTAACAAATGTGTCTCCATGATCTTCCTACGGTAATGACACGCAATTCTTGCACCGAGCCTCGTGGTGCTTAACTATTATTGGCCTTAGAACCTTTGCGGCAGTGTTTCCAGACTTTGGATGCCCTGACGAACAAGGCTAGGAGCGTTTTTGGAAATTTCACCGTCTTGGTCACTTACTGATCATAATTCAATCGGTTTCACACCATTGCCAAGTATGTCTATATGGCGAGCAACTTGATCATCTACTATAATGGTCCTAGGTCCTTCTACATGTTTCGAATACTTATTTTTGTCTTCAAGGCGTTGGTCCAAGATGACCCGTTGACCATTGTTCCGCGCCAACTATGCCGTTGAGGGCGAATCAAAGGGGCGATTGTTTACTCACGTGTCAACTGAACGCAAACCTGTGGAACCTTCTTGTGGGACCAAAATTCTAGGTGAGTTATGAATCGGGTAGAGCGACAATAAGAGGGATCAGATGGATCAGATGCACCCTGACGGATGGAAGGTGAGCTTTACCGTCTAAAGAGAAGACTGATCATGATTTGTCAAAGCCCCCAAGAGCAGTAAACAGAGGGAGAACAATCACATAGAACTTCTTCTCCCAGACATGCCAGCAATCGATAGATCAGGAGTGAGTCTCCAATGGGGTACAGAACTCATTTACTCCTATGAGCGCATGAGTTTGTTTGCGAATTCAGAAAACGGAACATGTTCCTGTGCCAATGTGAGTTTCCATTTCATCACAAATGTTATTTTTCACGAGTGTAAGATAGAATTGGTTGAACACCAACGCAAAGTTAGTCGTCGATACTATAAACAGGATGCAGTTTGCAATCCAAATGATTCTATTGGTCATGCGATAGCGTTTGATGAGATTTACGACAGACGATAAATAGCACGCAGTAGACTTCTATAATGTTAGTGATCACTGTGATCCAGGGAGCAGGGAACCGCACACTGTATAAAAATCCCTCGCACACAACGCCCACAGCTACAGACGCGTCTACCGAGACACCCATCAGCAGAATCGCACAGCGGAACGAGAAGAAGACGGGAGATGCAGGAAATGTAAGACCTGCTACGGCTGAAATAGATCTCTATCTAGCAGAAGCACTGACGTGATTGAGCTAATTGGCAGTGCAAACATTCACGAGTGATTGAGGCGCGGCCAGAATAGGGTTGGCGAATAAAGTTCGTACGAGCATGTAACATATTTAGGGTCACTTACTTCCTATGTCCAAATGGCAAGCAACTTGATGCCTCATATATATATATGTCTCCAGATGATCAAAGGATTCAACTTGAAGGATGACCCGATGACCACTGTTCCGCATCCAGCTGCGCAGTTGATGGTGAATTAAAGACCGATCATCTCTCCATGTGCCAACTGAGCGCATCCCTGTGGTTTCTTGTGGTTGGGACCGAAATTCCACGCGAGTGCTCGTCATCACTGCCGGCATAGTCTGCTCAGACGAGATTCCCAGGCCAACACGAATTATAATCAAGGTGGACGCAATGCCCTGACGCACATGTGTAAATTTAGCTGAATCGCGAACCCAATATTGGAGGACTTACATAGATCTGTGTCCCAGCTAGACTTAACACTGCCTCTGCAGGATTTCGAATAGCTACGAGAATGACAAAAATGAGCTGCGTGACCAAGTACATAGCACCACTCTCGATGACTAGCATCATCGGCCGCCCACCAGCCGCGATTTTCAAAGTCACTGGCTTTCCATTTTCGTCGACGATAGGAATGCGAGAGATGTACCAAAGGCGACCAGCGATGAGCCCAGTGACCATGATGTTCGTGCAAAGAGGCAATGCGTATCCGGCAATGGTCAATGGTACAATCTGAGTTGGGGGAACTGGTGATGTCGGGTTGATCGACAATAAGAGGGATGGGATGGGCAAGATGCACCCTGACACATGAAAGGTGAGCGTTTCTGTCTAAAGAGAAAAATGATTATAATTACCAAAGCCCCCAAGAGCAGTGAGCAGGGGGAGAACAATCACATAGAACTGCTTCCCCCATATAAGCCAGCATCGATAGATCAGGAGCGAGTCTCCAATGAAGTCGACCACAGAAATCATCAAATTTGCTCCTAATAGTGCAGGAGTTTCGTTTGCGAACTCTGAAAACGGAGCATATTCCTGTGGCAATGTGAATATGCATTGCATCATAAACCTGTTACATATTCCTCACGAGTGCAAGATAAAAGTGGTTGAACATCAACGCAAAGTGAGCCGTAGATGTCATAAATAGGAGGCAGTTTGCAACCCAAATTACTCGGTTGGACACTTGGTCGCGTTTGATGAGAATTACAACAGAGGTAATAAATAGGACGCAGTAAACTCCTGCACAGTGATGTCAGTAGTAGCCCAGGTTCAGAGAAAGAGAAACGTCGCGCACCGTACAACATCGCCTCGCACACGAGACCTACAGCTTGAGTCACATTTATTGAGACAGCCATCAGCAGCAGGGAGGTAGACGCTAGAAGGTGAAGGAGATGGTTTTCCGCGTGCTTTACTTGACAAATGCATTAAGCGGCCACAATTGACTCAGAAGGAGCACTGTTAGCGACGGTCCGTGCGCGCGACTGCCTGGCTAATCATTAATCAGATCCTCCCCAAGTCTTGCCACGGGTGATGGGGCCTTTCGAAGCCTTTCCCTGTGATTAGTAGGTCTAGGGCATAAATGGGCTCGCGACCTTCTTAAGTTATATAAGTAACACGAGTACAACGCCGCAAGCTTATCTATAGCGCTCACCGGCAAATAACCGATACGTGCATTGTGACTACTCATTGAGTCATGATACAAGTTGCCAGCTCATAAATTATGAGTGAGAGAGGAAAGACCTGTGGGTTATAGGTGAGCTATCGTGTTATGCGAGTATGTACCAGTAGTGGCAGATCCTGTTTTTCTAATTTGTAAAGTACCTTTAAGTGCAATGATGGAGAAGTAAGTGTGTTGAATGCAGTGCAGGTAATATATCGGTTGGTTATCGGTTACAAATCTTCGCAATACGATTAGGAATAAAAATAGATACATAACACTTGAATTCGAAGAACCCGGGTGTGTGAATGCAATAAACAGTTCGACACTGAGCTGAGTCGAAAAATTGGAAGTTTGAAAGGCGTATCAAGCGAAGGTTAAGTAAGACTTCATCGTCATTGAATAGTTTGAAGGTTGAGAACCAGTTGCATACCCTGCCCCGTAGGAGAGTAGCTTAATCCGATCCATCTACGAACATCTCCCAAACAGTCTATGCGCCGCGGTCCTTGTCGATATTCCCAGCCATGCAACGTCGGACTCACAGAAGCTCTCTCTTGTAAGGCCCATAAAACTGCTTCGGCGCTGTCTGGGTTCACATGTTCGATGTGTTCCATCTCAGCTCGAGTGAGAGGTGTCTGCAGCCATTCGTAAATGGCATCGAGAATATCTTGGACCTTGATAGCGCTGGTTCTTTGCACCCTGACGACGTTCCACATGTGTGCCATGGGACAAGCTGGGATAGCAATTTCGATAATGCTGATCGGAATATCCGTCGCTGGAGAGTTCAAGACATGTGCCAGATCCGCGGAAATATGTGCGCCTGTTGTCAGCCTGGCTGTAATTGGGTTCTGCCGGATATCCCACTGAAGCATAGGCATGGCTGGTTGGAAAGGGTTTAGAGCAAGCCAGGGTGCAAATTTCGGGCGTTCATCGCCTGTCTGGGGCCATGGTGGGGCAGGCAGTGTGGCAGGAGTCCACTGAACTGTTGCGGGGAAGTGGCTATGTCCGTTTAGGTGGGGAGTCCAGGTCAAATTGCCAGTCGGGAAAGACCACACGCTGTGGTCAGGGTGTCTGGCAGGCAGCATAGGCCCGCCAACCCTGTTTGTGTCGGCCCAGGCCGGCTCCCGCCACGTATATCGTGGTACAAAGCCATTTCGCCATGGAGGAGCCGATCCTAAATCGCAAAAATGCGTCCCATTACATGAACGAGAAGAAACTAGAGAATAGCTTACCACCGTTCTGCCTTGTGCGGCGGAAAGAGGAATTGCGCCACCAATCACACCAGCCGCTCCCGCGACTGGAACAATTTGGGTTGTAGAATGTGTTGTAGAAATACATGGTGGAAGGATTTGTCGAAGACTGAAATGTCGACATGGGGAGCTTTTGTACTGCCGGGCAACTCAAGAGTGGGCACAGGTGTTGGACCCACAAATAAGAAAGCACCACATGTCCCAGAAGTAAATGCGATGCCTATCTGCGCACAAAAGCATCACATGCAAACCAGAACTATAAGGCCACTTTATCAGTTAGTGATTCGTCGCTAAGAGGAGTATTACTTACCTGATAGCACAACAAGACGAGGTTCACAAATCAGGGCAATCGCGAACCCGTAACCTGCTGGCATAATAGCGTGGCTGCACAAAAATATACACATGCGCCCACAAAGGCGGTGCGTGAGCCAAGGCTGTGCCACAACATCTCACCACATATGTAAAAAGCGCACTTCAGCAGCGGCCAAGGAAACAGCCAGACTGCGAAAAGCACTGTACACCTATTGGCCCGTCGGGATGCGCCGACAAGGGTCTGAGATCTGACTCTTATCGAAACAACCTCCTCTGAGCAAGTGCCAGTGAGTGTGACGACATATGCACAAACAAACTTAAGTATAGCTTACTGTCGCATAGAGCTGGCAGATACCTCATCTTTCCGCCGACTAGCCAAGGCTCAACGACCGCGAAAGTCTCGAAGCGTTCAACCTTAGTTTCAGAACTGAAGTCCAGAGAACCTAAAGGTGGACGTTAACACTGGACCAGCACGGGACAGCGTGTCGGACGGTGCCACATCGTCCCCTGTCACAGATCGTGAGCACTATTGGAGCTTGAAGCTACTACTGCCAGTAGATCAATGATGGCAGTAGCATTGGCTGGTAGAAACCCTGCACTCTGGTGTGGAGTCTTCGGCACCTATATATGACATGCATGTATGAGCCTCAAAACGAAAGGAATTACAGTCAGTCAGTCAAAGGCGCCATCTAATTGTAATATTCCCTCACATTTCGTTTGTTTTATCCTCATGCGCAAGGGCGACCAGTCTCTATTGGCGTTGAATCAAGATTATTTAGACGCTCGCTCGGTCCCGAGCACTAAGATCTGAGACGTGGCAGTTCCCATGAGCTTCCTTGACAGAATTAACATCCAATAAGGACGCGACAGCCACCTACCACGCGTTGTGACATTTTCGGCGTGCTGTGATGAGGCGCGAAAAGCTCAATAACGATTTGGAGAGATACGTGAAGTAGAACATATCGAAACGTAAAACGAATTACTCCTCAAAAGCCTGAGCAGAAGCATGGACAATGGAAAGGAGGCGTATAATGTCTATGACCATCCAAGCTGAACTACACAGAGCGAAACGATAGCCGAGGATAGAGAGGCGGGCGTGGCCGAGTTCACTCCGAATTAGCGCTGGCAACACGGTCGCGAAGGCCCTCAGCTGTCACCGTGTCGGTCGGTGCTAAAGCACGCGAACCGGACAAGTTGGACATGACAGGCTTCAACACAACGGTGTAAGTTGTTTGTGCGCCCTAGAGATAAGACATTAATTGCCTGCGTCTCGGAATGCATTATATCTCGCGACTTACGCGGAAGGTAGGGAGCTGCAGCCAAAGGATGAACACCGTCTTGAATGCAAAGTACCACGGGAAGTAGTAGAGAACCATTCTGAGTGCAATGCTCTCGAGGAAGTTGAAGAACCCGAAAACAACCCAATACGTGAGCCACTGCACGTCATCCTGGTGCCCGGGACTTTCCAGTGCCTTGAAGGAGAGGTAGCACGGAAGTGCCCATCCAACGAGATTAGAAACCGGTGCGGCAAGAGGATTGACAAAGTGGAAAAGGGCGAGGAGCAAAACAGAGCCGCTGACAAAATAGGTCTTTGGAATCTGAGTCCGCTGCTCAAATGTGTTCAAAACTGGATACTTCGTGAGCTATTGAGGGGTTTATGTTAGTTCAAAGAATTACGGCCAAAAAACCCGTTACTAACTTCCTTGTCAAGCTGTTGAATATAATAATTCGCCTTGTTCTGCGCCTGAACGAAAGCAGGGTGCTGCTGAACCTTTTGTGTCGCAGACATCTGCAGAGGAGGGGGAATAAAACGGTTTCCTAGTCAAAACCAGGAAGGATGATATCTAAGTTAAAACAACTGACCTTAGGGGGCGTGAAATATGTACTGAGGAACTGATTAGGTGGCAGTCAAGACGGTGGTAGGAAAGAAAGAGAGTTGGGGCGGATACGGCGTTGATATGGGTTTGATGACATGTGTTTGGCGGCAACAATACGTCAGCTTGCCTCGAGTCGCCCAGAATCTTATATCGGTCCACCAACAACCTCCGCAGCAGCTTGCTCTCCGCTTCAGGTCCTTTCACAACTCGTGCCAAACGTCTGCTGCAGTCATGGACAATTACGAGGCAATCCAGGTATGTCCTTGACATCCGCCGTATAGTCAGATTTGGACACGTCTCAACCACGCTGAGCAGGCCATACATAAATCATTGCCTCCGTTCTCACCTTATGTGCCCGCGTCTCTCCTTCCGTCCATAGCTCTCATCCTCTTGGCATCAACTTTCGCTCTTGCATTTTACTTTTCAACGTAAGTCGCCGCTGTACACCTCTGTAATACGTGTCCCTATACCCATGTCCACAGCCTTTCAAAAGACACGTTTCCGCTACGCGAGACTGCGGTGGCATCACTAGCAAGTGTCCTCGGTGGTTTCGGAGTTGTTGCCCTGTTCTGTAGTGTTGGAGTGAACGTGTAGACATCTTCCTGTCCTAGCAGTCGCAGTCAACCACTGGATACCCCCACCCCAAAAACATTATACTAATTGTTGACACGCCAACCGTGTTTACAAGAGACACACTGGAAAGTCATTCGTCAGACTTGGGACAGCGAATAGGGGAGTCACGTACTGTGTATAAAATTGTGGAACCTTCATCAGCACTGCGCATCTGCGATCATAGGTCAACTCAGTTTTTGCGTAAACGGTATTAACAGTTTTCCTTGCCTGTTTCTCTTCGTAATAAGCTTCCAGATGTCCGCAAGACGGGCATTTTTCTGACACCTGTTGGTGATGTAAGGAAACCATAATATCTCCAATACATTCATGCTGGTCACCTTGGGTAAGACTTTACCCTGATGAACCTTCGTTTGGGTTTTACGCTTCTGTCTCAGCGCTGAAGGGAATGCTTCAGGGTGTGACCGAGTAGTTATCTCAATATTCTCATAAGCTGCCAAACGTGGTAGATGAATATGATGATCTGGGTGGCTCAGAGAGTACACACATGATGCTGGTTCCTCATAGCTGCATTGTTCGCATATGACTGTTTGCTCGTCGTCTTTTGGAGGACTGAGTAGAGTGCCGCAATGAGGGCAAAATAGCAGAGAACCTTGGAGTTGGTTACTTTTCTGTCTCTGATCTGAGTTTAGCCTAACAACTCACCAATTTTATGTGCGAGAGTAGGCATAAGATTGTAAGTTACAGTTTGATCCTAGCTTGATCCTATCAGAGTTTTACTGAAGAGACGTCTTCTGACTCGGAACGGCGGAAATGATACCCAGCGCCTACTAACTTACCAGCAGTTTGGACAAAGCATGGCATACGGCGCTTGCACGTCGTCGCGTCGGGTGCAATAGGACCGCCTTCACCAGATTTAGAACAACACTTTTTTTGTCACCGTCACCGTCGGACGATGGTCCAAACATACCTTTCATTACTGCGCCCACACTGTATCGATGCAGTTGAGCTGGACCCTGACGATTGCTTTGTTTTTTACTGTCAACTCCGGGACCCGACGTAATTATCACTGAAGAAAGGTCGGCTGGTTGATGATCGTCGCTGCATCTGATGCATTTGACGGCACGACCCTATGGGTTTGCTTTGGCCCGTCTCTCCTGTCTGATATCGCCGAAGACTACAATAAAGGGACTCCAAAACGAGTGGCACTTCTTTGTTCTTTCACGAGTCTATTCTGACGTATGGGCCCCTGGACTTGGCAGACACCGCATATATATGAACGCCTTTTCCACCCATGAAATTCCTGGACCCTCTTCGTCATCCTCACTTTCTCTGTTTTCTCTTGGTTCTAATTCTGCACGCAGGCCGTGCCACTGACTTACTGGACTGGTACCATACGATAGAGATTTTGACCTTCTTTTTGCTCTCACTGGCACGTCAAACCTCCATCACTTTCACTTCTACCATCACGCGCCACTCATTATTCTGATCCACTTCTATTCAATAACGCCATCTTATACGATGCCTTTCCATACTGCTCTATCCGACGCAGCTCTCTCGGACCTTGCTTGCAGGCTACGGTACGCCAACGCGCGTTACGGCCAGATCGCTTGTCAACTGCGCTGTCGGATCACAATCACGCGCACAAATCACGCACAACGGCACGCCTTCTGGGCTGGCTTGCGTGTTGATATAGCAAAGGCTAAGGGTTGTCCCACAACTGCGATTTCAGTCAAGCCCTTGCCTGTCCTTGATACGACTCCGAGTCCCCTGCCGCCTATGCTTTCCCCATGTGCATTTTCAGCAGAATCCCACAACGAACTTGGCTTGGGGATTCCAAAAATCGTCGTATCGTCCCCTGACGCATATGTTCAACCCCGCAAGCGCCTTGTGATTCGGATTCCATCGCTTGCTAGCCTTCATGATGATATTTACTGCCATGAGCAGTATGACATGTCTACTCCGGGTGCGCCACTCATTCGGACCAAAGAATTGCCCGAGTGCGAGATGGAAGATATGTGCTCTTCGCGTTCATGTGAGCTCTGACAAGAAACTTGCAACGTTTTTTGTGACTGAATGTCAATTTTTAGCTTCTGCCGCATCTTCCACCCCCCTCTTGACACCTGTGAGTCCTCTACATTCTATAACCCTTTCACACACTGAACTTCTGTACAAGATCGATATTGTTCACTCTGGTCTTCGTATAAAAATTCCGACCAGGAAGCGCAAGCTCGGAGAGACTGACGACGAAGATTTCTGTCCGGATAGCTCAGACATTCAGTTTCCCAAGGTTTGTTCCTCCATAATTCAACGATGTGAAAGCTGAGGCCTTTGTTTCAGAGACACATGAGGAGGCGCTGGGCTCGTTCACAGACGTCTAACGACCGAATGCATTGGTATCCTTCTCGGGCACAGATTGCTTCACTTTGAGCTTCAAAGAACAAAACACATCACGATTTCACTGCAAATACATACAATACCCAGCCTGTCAGTGCATGTAATGTTTCTTTTTGTTCTGGACACTGGTTCCACCAAACTGTATCTTCTTAAATATCATTTTCGGTTGCCTTGTGAAAGACACTTTATTTACTGCCTGCCTCATAATGTATCCTGACTGTGTTGTTTTATAATCTTATCCTCCTTGGTGTTTCGCTTACCCCAGATGTGTGAAATGTTAACGATAGTCAGTGACTCGCGTGATACTGGGGAACATCCGAATCACACGGACTTCAAAACAGAAAACACTTATTGGTCTAGTCGACGATAGAGTGGTACGACTCGGCTGTTCGCCTGCCTAATGCAGCCCTGTAGCCCTTGTTCTCGTCTCGTCTTGCTTACTTCCATTTGGTTAACACTACGTGAGCCTCGAGGCAACGGTGGTTAAATAAATTCTTGCAAGGGGTGCTTGGATAGGAAGCTCGTCTCCACCTTACTACCACAACTCCGTGGCAACAATTATGATGAGCGCTGAAACTACTGATCCAACCTCTCAATCAAACTATCGTCAGATCAGCACAAAGCACTTCTCACTCGATTGGTCGATTGACTTCCTCGAGAAGGTGATCAAGGGCTCTATCACACACGAACTTACCGTGCACACGAGCGACTTGAAGGAGGTTATGTGCGTTTGCTACCTATCCGTGTAATGCGGCGAGTACTTATGTATATAGCTTTGATACATGGGATGTCGTGATCAAGCGCGTGTACGTCGAGGGCGAGTCTAGCAATGCTCAGGTGCGCAGACATTCCTCTTCGATGTTTTCGGGTTCAAAGTGCCATAGCGTCTGAGCGTGTAGTACTCCTTGGGAGAAAAGCATGAAGTCATGGGCTCTGCGCTGTATATTCTGCTTCCTGCCGGTCTGCAGCCAGGATCGTCGGTGAAAGTGACGATCGAGTATAACACAACGGAGCCAGGATGCAAGGCATTGCAGTGGCTCGACAAAGCGTTAGTATCCATCGAACAGCTTGCTCCATGTTCCCGCTAAATGGATATTTGGAAAGACAAACGCATGGCAAGACCCATCCTTACCTGTTCAGTCAGTGCCAGCCGATTTATGCAAGAGGTCTTTTCCCATGTCAAGGCAAGTTTCGGTATATATATATTGTACTGCAGCAGCTTAAACAGTGTACGATACACTCAGACACTCCATCCGTGAAAGCCGTCAGTCATTGTTGGTCCCGCGCAGTTGTGATTTGTAACTGAGAACATCAGTAGACATATGAAGCGAAGATCTCGTCTGTGCTTCCTGCGCTGATGTCTGCTATTCGAGTGTCCCCGCCTGCGGAAGGGCCTGTACACGATGGGAAGATTGTCGGGCAGGACGAAGTCACCTACGTTTACAACCAGGTGCGCAGTACTCAGCAGGAGCATTAAGCCTTACCTTGACCTACTTGATACCCAGCCGGTGCCAATACCATCTTACTTGATTGCAATCGCGTCAGGAAATCTTTGCTATCGTGCATTCGAAAAGCTTGAAGGAAAAGACTGGACGAGCGGAGTGTGGGCCGAACCTGACATGATTAATGATGCTTGGTGGGAATTCAAGGAAGACACGACAAGGTCCTTTTCAGAGGCTCAGGATTTATGGGACATTTGAGAACTCCTTGCACAGGTTTTTGGCTGCAGAGGAGGAACTCGTTGGCATGTCGTATAAATTTGGCGTGTATGACCTCCTGGTTTTGCCTCCGGCATTTCCTTATGGCGGCATGGTGCGTTCTTTTATATCCCTCATATCAGATTCTGATGGAGATCCAGGAAAATGCATGTTTGACATTTGTCACGCCAAGTTAGTACATGCGACTTATCAAGATATATATCTGACCAAAGGTCAGCTTTGTTAACTGGTGACAGGACACTGGTGGACGTCGTCGTCCACGAGATCACGCACTCCTACTTTGGGAATGGTATAACGTCAGAATATCCTCCTTCCTCTCCTTTTTTTTTGACTGATTTTATTGCACAGACACGCAGACGCTTCGCACTTTTGGCTCAACGAAGGTTGGACGACATACATTGAGCGCCTCCTCCAGCAGATATTGCATTCCCCTGCTCACCGGGGATTCTCTTTCTTGACCGGTGCGAAGGACCTTTACGACGACCTCAAGTTTTATGAGCTGCGCAACAAGAAGTATCAGAAATTGCGGATTGAGTTTGAGAAGGGCGAAAACCCCGACGACGCCTATAGCTCAGTACCATACGACAAAGGCGCTAATTTCCTCCTTCACATTGGTCAGTGGTGCTTGTTTAGTCTAAGGGGCCCTTCAGGCTATTGACAAAGTATTTGGGCTTTCAGAACGGACGTTAGGTGGTTTAGACGTGTTCCTCCCATATATGAAAGATTATGTCAAGACATTTATGGGTAAAAGCATCACCACAGACATGTGGAAGGATCATCTTTTTGCCTACTACACGCAGTTTGGTGGGGGCGACGAGCTTGAAGCGCTCAAAAGCATTGATTGGGATGCAAGTATTAGATCTTCTGTCCTTCGAGTCACTCAACTCACGATTGTGTCAACGTAGGCTTGGCTTTTTGGAACGGGTGTCACCCTTCCTGTGCCCATGGAATATGACATGACCCTCGCACAACAGTCCTACAAGCTTGCTGAGAGGTGGAGCAAGACCAAAGATACATCTGAGTTCAGCGCCACCGATATCAATGGGATGGATGCCAACCAGATCGGTGAGCACGAGTCTCGCTCACGGTCTTTGCTGCTGACTGCACCTTATCAGGCGCTTTCCTTGAACGACTACAGTCCTTCGACCCATTGCCAGTGGCGCATATCGATGACCTTGGTAACCTCTACGGGCTAGATAATTCGCCCAATGCGGAGCTTCGCCTGAGGTTTTACCAAGTAGCTTTACTTGATCACAAGTCAGCCAAGTCAGAGCAATATGCTACAGCGGCTTTGGGCTGGATTGTTGGGGAAGAGGATGGCATGGTGAAGGGTCGGATGAAGTTCTGTCGGCCAATATTCAGGGCGGTGTTTGCTGTCAACGAAGCGATGGCACAGGACAAGTATCAAGAACACAAGAGTTCATTCCACCCCATTGCCCGTGATCTTATTGAGCAGGTGAGAGATGCCTAGGTTCCTCCCCGATGAAACTAATACCGGCGCAGGACATCGAGTTAACCAAGGGTCACGGGTCTAATGTGTAACAAGACAGTTATCTATCAAATTGTATCTAGGGCAAAATCGATGTTATTTGAAATCGCCCCACAGGTCCCCGAACACGTCATCTTTCTTTTGGGCAGGCTGCACCTGAGAAGTGCCCCAAAGGCTGCTGTCGTTACTTGGTGCGGAGACAGACGATCCCCAGATGTCATTCGTGTTAGATGAATTCGCTTGAGGCTGGGGCTGTTGTGCCGTAGGAATGACTGAGCTCCCCCATAGGGTATTTGGGGAGGGTGCAACGGGAGTAGCGCCCCAGCTAGAAGAAGAAGCGCCCCACAAACTAGTGCCACCCGTACCCATCATGCTTGTAGGCTGAGGTTGTGTCTGCGGAGCGCTTCCAAACTGGTCCCAGGCTGATTGTGGCTGAGAGGGGGACGCAAAGGCGCCAAAAGCACTGGCACCTGTCGACAGGTTGGAATTGCTAGGGGCGACAGCAGGAGCAGAGGAAAAGAGGGACATGATATCTGATTTCATATCTTTAGATGGTGGTGGCGAGGCTGCCTTCTGAGCGGGTGCGTGGAAGTCCAGTGAGAATAGGTCATCTTGAGTCGGGGCGGCGGGCTGCGCCAATGTCGGCTGAGGTGCGGCAGATGTCGGTGAAGTAATTATAGGAACTTCAGAGTTGATTGCTCTGCCGGCGATTGCGGATGAGAGCAACTGACGAGATTGAGGCTGACGTGTTGTTATGTGGGTCTGCAGTGCAGGAGATGCTGGTCTTGCACCCGATATACTGGTATTAGTGATATGAGTTGGGCGTGAGGACTGCGTAGCCGCAGGGAGAGACTGTTCAATAGCCTGTGAAGCATGCCCATTTGAGGTTTCACTCTCAAGAACCGATGGATCGGACGGCGGGGGTCCATCAAGTGCCCATCTCCGGGATTCATATTTTGAACGTATGAATGACTCCATTTTGCTATGATAAAGTGTGAATTAGTGTTCGGATGGTAGGGCTATAATCACATACTGGTCTGGGGGGACATGACCAGACTTGAGATGTGATTCCCAGTACAAGTTGGCACGGCGATTCCCCCATTTCTGAATCGACTGGGAAGTAAACGACGTTAAGCAAGCGGTGAGACTAACACATGAGTAGCATGGAATTACCTCCATTTGTTCCGGTGTCCAGATATCAAGATCGACGGACTTGACGCGGCTGATATGCGTTCCCATGCCACGATGGATGCCTGAACAGCGAATGCACAGGAAGACACCTCTAGAAAGCATGGTCAGGCTAGAACAGAAGCGGAAATGCAAAACGCACAAATTCCATGATGCCCAACGAGGATCTGGTTCGAAAATCATTTGAAAAGCTGGGAGATGGGCAATGGGGAGAAGACCGACCGTTCCGCTTGCAATCTGCACAGACTTTATTGTCTGGCTGCTTGACCAGTTCTTTGAGAATTCTGGAATTTCTTTCGGTCGTGGCTTTGTCCTGTCTGGACATGATGGTCGACGAGAAAGTTAGAAACAAGATGAACAGATGTTTCGGAGCAGATCAGCCTCATTCCCAAAACGTGTCAGGGTCCGCTTCCTATTACGCACTACCAACGTTTTTGCCTACCACGTCAATCGTAAAAAGGCAGACAGCACACTGTCTGCATTTAACTAGACTAAAGTAACGACCATCACGATGTCAGCTACAGCTCGCGCAGAGGCTCGTCGCAAAGCTATTCTCAGCAGAGGAAATGACCGCCTGTCGAAATTGACGACGACTGCTCGCGGAGAAGATGCTCCAGCTTATTTGAATGCTGGTGAGTGATTTGACTTGACGCATCACAGATAGTATTAACTGTGCCATAGATATCCCTCCCAGAGCTGCAGCTGCTAGTTTTGTGGGCGAAGGGCCGAGTATACCTCCACCACCAGACATGCATCCCCCGTTCTCTTTCGGACAAGCAGGCCTTGGCGGAGCAGCACCCGACCCATCCGTTTGGTCAGAAGAGCATCAAAAGCAGTTCTTTCAAGCTCTCATGGGTGGCGCAGCCAATTCTCCGCCATTTCCTCAACCTCAGATCTCAGCTGTGGCCTCCAATGGAACAACTCCACCTCCTCCAGGTGATCCTTTTGCTGCTATCATGAATTCCTTGCAGCAAATGGACCCGTCTCGTGGCGGCGCTACTGGAAAAGTACCCGCTCCTCAAGCACCTGCAAAGCCCCCCTCGATCATGCAGAAGTTCACGCCATTGCTACACATTTTGTGCACATGGTTCATTCTGGCATTTTTTGTTCTTTTCAAAGAGCCTCAAATATTAGTCGAGCGCAGTGGTGGCACTTCGGAAATTTTCTGGAAACGTTGGGCAGAGCTTGCCTGGAGAAGCTCTAGCATTGACGGCTGGGGAGTGCAGTTTGTGGTCAGTGGCTCGTGCTTGCTTGAAGAATAGTGTCGCTGATCGACGTATAGCCGTTTATGTGGGCGTTTATGACTGTGCAAGTGATGCTTCACTCCATACGTATATACACGGGCAATGTAAGCCTCCTCAGGCTGCGAATGAATATTGTGCTGATTGTACTCGGACAGAACCAAGTGCAGCCTCCGGCTTTGTTGGCGCTAGCTCTGCCTCACTTGCCCCCACCATTCCCATCCATCATTACGAATGGCCTGCGCTATATCAGGATGGGAGGCGCTATTCTTGATGATCTGTCGGCGGTTGTATTTGGAATTGGGATGGTTGTGCTGATCGCTGGATGGTTCGCTGGATGACTGGTCCACTCCTATGTAAATTCCGCCAGTATAACGAGTCTTTAGTGGGTTCATTATTGGGCAACACATGCACGTGTCTAATAGCTGAAGTGAGAGTATCATGAAATTAGGGTAGTATGGCAGCGGCTCCGGTCTTTGGACGCTCAGGTGATGACAACATATTTTCCACCATGGCCTCCAAATTCTCTGGGCTACGGGTGTTCAACTTCGGTGTCCGTTTCTTAGCAGCTGCTAAGCGTTCCTTCTCCTCGCCTGGGAGAATGGGCAGGCCAGCAGTTTGAGCAGCCGCCTTGTACTCTTTCCATGGGTCACCGCCAGCAAGGTCCATTAGTTCCTTGGTAATTGATGTGGACCATTTATTTGAAATGTCGATGGTAGTCTTAGTTCCGTCCTCTGTACAATTGACAAAGAATGGTCATAAAAAGGGAACGAAGAAGCGCGTCAGAACGTCAAAGAAATACAATAACAGAATTGACTTACCGAACTCGACGACCATCTCAGGCGTCCAATTGTCTTGTAGAGTTTTTGGAAGCTTCTTCACCTCCACGTTGAGTTGTGGGTTGGCATACCGTATACGTCTAAGCTCTTCCTTCACAAAATGCCTAGGTCTGACTTAGAACGCGTGTACCCGAGTTGTCTATAGGATAGCTTACCGTGCTCCGAAATGATCGTTTCTAGTAGCCAGCTTCAAGCTTATCCCCCGCAGACCAGTCAAGGACAGCCTTGGCTCCTTATTGAGGTCATTTAGTATGACGGACAGTCGAGAAGGCCCTGGAATGAATTTGGGTTTCCGAGGCATTTTAAATGGAACAGAAGAGGTGAAATGTACGTAGTTTGCGCAAATTGAGCTGTAGGTTGTTTGATCTTGTTGAATTCGAAAGCCTCTCCCCTTTCTTGGTGGCCTGCCTTCTCACTCTAATCGCGGAACTACATACTAATCATCCAATATGGCTGAAGAGGATACACTGGTATCGCGTCGGTCGAGGAGAAGCACGGCGGGGAACAGGTCTGTACAGTTTTTTTACTGGTATACTGACACTGAATATCATCAGGATGGAGGCGGCCCTGGCTGAGCTCGCTGTCGAGGAAGTTAACGAGGCTGAGGAAGATGTTGACTTTGTCAACGACAAAGGTGAATGTGATGCGCTAAATACTGACGGAATATGTCTTATGCTGTATCTAGATGAGGAAGATATCTTTGAATCAGATTTCGCGAGCACGGACGACGAGGCAACTACTGAAGGTTTTGATACTGGTGAAAAGGCTGTCGAGGATGAGGAAAGGAGAGAGAGAAGGGTATTTATTGATTGCATGTTGTTCCGAAATAAACTCATAGGCTTCTAGAGTGCGCGCGTAAGGGTGGAGAAAGCTACCGCCGCTGCTCATGCTCGCCAGAGGGTCACCTTTCACCCCCAAGCAGAGGCTTCAGGGAAGAAACCTAAAAAAGAGTCTCAGAAGCTCAAAAGACGTGTATCTCTTGGTGTCGCAGTTAACGCAGAGACAGGAGAAGTGATTGAAGGTGGTACAAGGCAACGGCAGAGTCAGAGATCACATACAATCATGAATACCTCGGCGACCGTGAATAGAATGAAGGATGCAGAAGAGAAGCGTGTAAGCCCTCATCCAACTTTATGCTCGACGCACTTCATTATCTCTCCTGCAGGCCACCATTCCGAAGAAGGCAAGAGTTGTCACTAAAGCTCCAGCACAAGACGAACTTATCGCGCGTGCCCTCGACACGGAGGAGGGAAATATTATTGAGCACCGAGATTATCTCAAACTGGAAGAAGAGAAGCGTGCGCGTGCTCGTGTAGTTCGAACTGCCCTTGAAGGTCCGGTGTTGCGATGGATTAGCCGAAAAGAACAAGTCAAAGTTGAAGTCACACCTCTGGCGCCTGCCCCATATCCATCACAGTACGGCTTCGTCTACAATCCGCATCAAGGAACTTCCTATTCCGGGACACAAACTTACCAGTCTCCCTTTCGTGCATACGTTCCAGCACCACCAAGCCAAACGCCGGCAGTTTCGTCCACACCATCACAAGGCTTGGCTGCCACAGCACAACCGCAGTCATCAACACCATCTGCAAACACGCCATCTCAATCATCGTATTATTATTATCCCATGCAACCCCCACCAATTCCGCCTCCCACGCAAGAAAGAGTTGACGACGTTTGCAAGAACTATGTTGTGCATGAGCTATCGCAAGATCCATCAGCAGCTAAACCGCCATGGAAAGATACCATGTCAGCTATGTTTGGCGATGATGTCAAATGGGACGAAGTTCGTGTGTTCACGGGGAAGCAGCGCCCGTTGAGTGAGTTTATCTTTCGCTCAGTTTTTTCGTAGTCGCATAACTCTCGCTCTAGGTCGACCTGTTCGAACCTGTCCAATCACTGGGACACCGGCGAAGTATCTAGACCCACGAACGAATGTGCCCTTTGCGAACGTTGCCGCATTCAAATTTCTGACCAAAATTTTGTCCCACGACTATGTTTGGAGTGAGGCATTGGGGTGCTATGTTACTCGCCATGAAGAGCTTAACTGTCATGTCGATGAGCCTATGAACGGCACCGCGACAAAGCGCAGAAGAGTGGATGATCAAGATGCGCAAACCAACGATGGTTAACTATCTATATCGCTGCACTGCACTCGATACGACTTTCCCTCCGATGAGAATAAGGCTTATTACTGGCACTCGTCTACTATCTCAATGATCACGTATCGGGACTTTATCCGTGGTACCCTGTTAGTTGGAGCGATATGACATCCCCGTGATTCTTTGACGAAGATTCGCAAAGCTGGAGTTTTGTGATTATGGGCAAGGGTGTTCAGGAATTAATGGGAGAGTCGATGGTTTTGAATACGGTTCCTGCCAAACAGTGTTCAGGCATAAATGGCTATCACATGCGCATGTAAGTAGCCTCATTACCCATTACGCTTCCTCATAGTTCTAGCTGGTTTATCTCTGCGAAACGCACCGGTGATAGAATCCTCGGGAATCCTCTTGCTGTAGCATGCCGGGTGACTCGTCACTAATGTCGGCGCCATCACATTCCTGATTCCTATATACCACATACAGTATAGGACCGGTCCTTTACCCACCTCAGGCAAAACTTCTGATTTCTTCATTTTTCCGTATCAACACATAGAAAGTAATTGAAGACGAGGCCTCAATGGACATTGCTATAGTGTACGATGAATACTTGATGTCCGCGATGTTGTGCATGACACAAATTAGTTGATTTTTTCTTCCTCAGTGAATTCTATTCAGAGTCATAGTTGATCAATGATTTTTTTTCAAGAAAAAGTGGCTGGTAGGATATAAAGTATATACTTCAAACATCATTTATGCCTCCAACATATTTGTGAAAGTCTGCTTTGTTCCTTCTACAGAGTGGGTAGATTGAACACAATAGTTTGTGAAGGTCTTATCTTGGCGAGTGTGTCACACATAGCTGTCACGCTGTTGTGCTGCATGATGTGACATCTAAAATTTCTAAATCGAGGTGGGTAAAGGACTGGTAAAGTCAAAGATAACGCTGTTTTCAATGATCCAGGAAAAGTACGCCGGTACTGCCTGCTTGCCATCAGACTAGATGGACGGACCATGTGGGGCAAGTTCAACGTCACGTTCCAAGAGAGATGAGTTCCTCTTAGGAAAACCCTTCCTCTCCACAATGACCCCCTGTAACGGGCGCTCAACAAAGCGAGGAAGGTGAGCGGCAGGAAAACGAGGGAGAGAGCCAGATACTGGCGTTGATTCGACAAGAGAAAGGTACAAAGCCCTGAACCACATATAAGTATCTTCAGTAGTGATAATGTAATGTGAAACTGAGTGAGACCGGGAATAGTAGAGGAGTCAATGGATACAAAGGATAACGAGTCCGAGAATATCCGAACGAGCCGTTCCGTCGATGACGGAGTACATCAGCGCAGTGTTAGTAAGTAAAAAGACCATGAGCTATGTAGAATGGCCGTGACCGTGACATCATCCCCCTTCTAGGGTGAGTGAGGATGAAGCTAGAGGTCGAGTCTTTCAGCGGGACGCGAGACACGACCCCCACGGGTCGTCGTCTGCATGGGAGGCACGTACTCAGATCTCAATCTCTGACGTACGGCAGCGGGTGACGGAGGACGGGCAGTGGCAGGAGGAACGGCAGTGAGGGCAGGCGCAGGAGGCACGGACGAGGGCTCGGAGGGCACGATGGGCGAAGATACCTGAATAGAAGAAGGAGTAGAAGAATAATCAGTAATAGATGAATCATGATAGTTTTTATTGATATCGAAAGAGTGAGGACGTGGGGAACGAGGATGTCGACGATGGAAATGTTCAATGAGTTCGTTGAACGACGTCGGGATGTCGGAAAGTGAGAGCCAGGAGTCTTCTGACTCTGGCAATGATTTCCACCGTACGAGATATTTGTAGCGGTGTCCAATCTTGCGGCAGTCGAGTAACGTCTTGATATCATTGGCAGGGTCATCGGCGAGGTCGAAAGGGAGTGGTGGAGCATGGGCATGGAAATCGGATGGGTCTGAGTACGGTTCGAGAAGAGAGACATTGAATACAGGGTGGAGACGGGATAGATAGGAAGGGAGTCGAAGAAGATAAGCGGAAGAGCCGATTTTACGAATGACAGGGTATGGACCGAGTCTACGATGGTCGAGTTTCAAAGACGGGCGTGTGGTCTTGATGTTACGGCGCAAGAGCCAAACCAGTTGTCCTGGTTGAAACTCGGGTGCTGGTAGTACTTTCTTGTTGTAGTACTTAGTCTGCACGTCTTGTGCGAATTGCAGCTCGGCACGAAGCTCTGCGTGAATTGCATCAAGACGTGTAGCGAGGTCGGCAGCAGCGGGAACGGTTGAACGTTCGGTGATCTGTGGCTCAAATGATGGGTGAAAAGCATAGTTAGCGAAGAATGGAGTTTGACGAGTAGAAGAGTTCTCGAGGTTATTAAATGCGAATTCAGCAAGAGGGAGGTAGTCGACCCAATCATCTTGCTGATAAGAACAATAGGCACGGAGATAGGTCTCTAGTGTCTGGTTCGTACGTTCTGTCAGACCGTCAGTCTGCGGGTGATAAGCTGTTGATGTGCGAGTGTTGATTTTGAGTAACGAAGTGAGTTCAGACCAGAACTTCGATATGAAGACGGAACCGCGGTCGGAGACGATGGAGTCTGGGAGACCGTGCAAACGAAAGATTCGATCGAGAAATAGCCAGGCAAGATCAGGAGCTGTGAGCGTCTCTTGGCAAGGGATGAAATGAGAATATCGTGTGAGTCGATCACAGACGACCCATATTGAGTCATAATTGTGAGATGTTGGGAGTTTGACAATGAAATCCATGGATATGGATTTCCATGGACGAGCTGGAATGTCGAGGGGTTGGAGTAAGCCATATGGCTTGTGACGAGGGGTTTTGATGCGAGCGCAGGTATCACAGGCCTCTACATAGCGCCGGACATAAGTTTGCATGCCAGGCCATGAGTAGTCACGGGCGACGAGCCCGAAAGTGCGATTACGTCCAGGGTGGCCCGCAATGATGGCGTCATGACGCGAGAACAGAACATCAGCACGCAATGGTAAGGGGACAAAGAGTTTTCCCTTATGAAACACGATGCCGCTTTCAGACGTGAAGTCTGGATTGCCACGGACGAGTGCTTCACGCCACTCCGTGTCTTCTTGGAAGGCAGTTTTGAATCGTTCGAAGAGTGCAGAATTGTCGATAGAAAGGGTTGTCATGGCGTTGATAACAGGTGATGAATTGAGTTGGGTGTTTTCAGAGGGTGTGAGTGAATCTGTGTGTTTCGATGTCAATACGATACGATTTTGACCCAGGAGGGTCTCATCCCCCTTCTTGGGTAAGTAATCTGTGCGTCGGGAAGGTGCGTCAGCGACGTTTGTCTTCCCCGGTGCCCAAATGAGTTGAAAATTGAAATCGGATAAAAACATCGCCCAGCGTGCTTGGCGACGATTGAGAGTTTGGGATGACATAAAGTATGTGAGGTTGCGGTGATCTGAGATGACTGAAATAGGGTGTGGGGAGCCAAGTAGCCATGCTCGCATGTCACGAAATGTTTCGATGACAGCCAGTAGCTCTTTGTCGTGAATCTCATAGTTGATTTCTGCAGGGGCCATCTTCCGTGAGTAGAAAGCGACGGGGTGGAGTGTTCCGTCGTCGTCAGGCTGTTGGAAGACACCTGATACTGCAAAATCTGATGCATCAGTCGAAACTGTGCAGGGTTTTAGAGGGTCGAAGTGTCGGAGGATAGGAAACGAGGTGAATTCTTGCTTGAGTCTGTTGAAGGCTGTACGAGCAGTATCTGAAAAATCAAAAGAGATATCTTTTTTGGTCAAGTCAGTTAGTGGGCGAGCAATGCGGGAATAACCGTCAATGAAACGACAATAAAAATTAGCAAAACCGAGAAATGATTGAATTTCCTTGATGGACGTGGGTTCAGGCCACGACACGATGGTATCGAGTTTCTTGGGGTTCATCTTGATGCCGTCGGCACTGATGACGTAGCCCAGGTACTCGACTTCTGATTTGTCCCACTCACACTTTGCAGGATTGGCACAAAGGTGAGCATCGCGGAGTTGATCGAGTACCAGTTTGACATGCTTGTCATGTTCTTCCTGTGTGCGGGAAAATATTAGAATGTCGTCCAAGTAGACGACACAGACAATGTCAAGTAAATCACGGAGAGTATCTTGAATAAAGGATTGAAAAGCTGCAGGAGCGTTAGTGAGACCGTATGGTACAACGAGGTGTTCAAAAAGGCCGAGTGGTGTCCGAAATGCAGTCTTCCACTCGTCACCCTCCTTGATACGGAGGTGGCTGTAAGCAGACTTGAGATCAATAACAGAGAAAACTTTACAACCCTGTACACGATCGAGAAGATCATGGACTAAGGGTACTGGGTAACGATTCTTCTTCGTTATGGCGTTGAGGCCACGGTAGTCGACGCAGAGACGGAGTTCTCCGGTCTTTTTGCAGATGAAGAGAACCGGAGCACCAGCTGAGGAGGTTGAGCTCCGAATGTGGCCACGCTTGAGATTCTTATTGACATATTCTGTTAGTGCTTCGCGTTCCAGTGGTGTGAGACGATAAAGGGGACCAAATGGTGGAGTCTTCCCCTCTTCTAATTCAATGTCGACATCATATGGGCGGTGAGGCGGGAGTTTTTCGAATTTGGCAGGTGAGAATACAGTGGACATATAGTCCATGTACTTAGGAGGGATGTCGACTGGTGGGGGGATCGGGATTTCATCGTCAATAGCATTGATGGAGCTTGAAGCAGTGGAGCGGACGTAAACAGGAGAAGACGGGGAGTGATAGCGGAGCATGAAGGAATCATCTGGGTTGGAACGTGCAGCCTTCGCGAATTTCTTCGCAGAGACAAAACGTATATTGGGTACCGTAGGGATTTCGGATGGAGTAGTAAGTGGATTGGAGCGACCATAGCCACTCCAAGACATGAAGGAAGCGAGGAACAAAGTCTTCGTGTGAGTTGATTGGGGTTCTGGGTCAGGTGCAGGTGGGTCATTACGTGCTGCTGACGTGGTGGAGAGTGTGCGAGTGGAGTGTGACGCTGCGTCGGAGAGACCAAAGCCAATTCCAACAGCCGTCGAGACATTGAGCTTGGATGGTAGCAGCTTCGGTTTGAGACCAAAGCCTCTTGCCGTCACTGTAACAGGGTTCGTGCGAGTGAGACTGCAACAAGCGAGTGAGAGGGTGGAGTCCTCCCAATCGATGTTTGGATTGTGCTGGCGGAGCCA